ATTTTTTTGAGTGCTAATTGCAACAGTGCTATCTACAAGTCATACTGTTTGTTATCGTTAAATATATATACATATGTGTTATTTTTGTCATAGATGTTTTGGTGGATAGACGAATGCAAAACGCATGGACGTTAAGCATATCAGCAYAATTAGTCGTAATTCTGTTCCCGTGTATGCTTGAGTAGCCTGACACCATTGTTTCTTTTGTCTGGATGTGATTTGTACGTTATTAAAACCGTTCAACTGAAAAGACCTCTTTTTGCAAGGCGCCTGGACCTTAAATAGATTCTTACTTTCCTCCCTTCGTCGCCATGTCTCCGCCGCGCGGGAAAACGGACGGACAGACAGTCGGGAACGAGATTGAAATAGCACCACATAATGTATAAAATCTGCGCATGCGTAATAACTAAGGAATTGACATTACCGATACAAGTGAAAAACGTCTGCGCATGCTCTAACTCCGCTATGAAAATAACTCCAAACGTTTTCGTGCTATTGTAGAAATATGTACATTTGGCTTTCAAACACTGCGGTGCCTGACAAATGGACTTCAGGCTAAGTTCAAAAGGCTCATTCTTTAATAGTGTATTCTTTATTAATACAGCATCTTGGTCTCAAACAAGTATACTCGCAAAATCGTTTGTATAATCCGAGAAAACGAACATTTATAATTTTCTCGCTTAAACTCTTCTAAATAATTCTTGGGAAAACGTGCTGCAAGGCACGCATGCGCAAACGTTTTCTCTAGTATCTACATTACCACGTGACGTAAAATTTACGCATGCGTAGTAAGTAAAGTGGGCGAAAAGCGAAACAAACATAACATTAGTTCCACTTCGAAGATAAAAATCCTCAAAATCCACAATCTTGAATTTATTTCATCCCTAAGGCAAAAGGCTTTGTAGAATAGGACTATTTATATGCTATTCAACATTGTTTACCTTAACGCAATTTGTCGGAAATTGCCGCTCAAAGACACAAATCCCCAAACACACCGATCCATTAGCTACTTTCATTAATCTCCAAGATATTTGGATTTAATTGTCCGCTAAAGCTATTGTCTTTCTATCATAGATATATACTTTTAATATTTATAAGTGGTTCATGACGTAGCTAATGTAATTTAAAGCCTTCTCGTCTAGAACTTTTTTTAGGTCGATTTTTGAACTTGACATTAAGCTTATATGATGTATTTTTCAAAATCAACCGTTGGATTTATAAAGCTGTCATTGATTTTAAATTTATATACGAGAAAATTTGATATTTGTAGACCGGCATGTATTTTTTATGTGCCAAAATGAACGATAGTGGTAGTGATATATAGTGCTGAGTTAAGCGGAGTCGTAAGAAATAAAATAAGCTGATTTAACGTGTTGGATTCGGACAATGTGAGGATAATTAACCAATATATTTGTTGTAAAAAAAGTATAATAATTTAAATTCTCACAATGCCATTCGCACTAGAAATCCATCAAAGAAAAAGCCTTAGAATATGTAAATGATTCTTATGAAAATATTTAAGAAATTATAAAGATGATTTTTGAGTTGGTCTGGAGGAAAGTAGCATTGTTTAAGGATGTTTGCGGCTACGAAAAGAAAAAAAAAATTATACAAAGCGGTACCATGTCTAAACCATTTATTTAAGTCTCGAGACTGGTTGGTGTTCCTGCGACAGCAGGAAATTTAACCATTGGTTTTGTCTTTCCTTTCCTTTCCTTTCCTTTCCTTTCTTCCTACCTTCTTTTTTTTGTCTTTCTTTATTTCCTTCCTTCTTTCCTTCCTTCCTTCCTTCCTTCCTTCCTATCCTTCTTTCTCCATTTATGAAATTAATATTCAAAAAAAAAAAAAAAAAAAAAAAAAAGGAGTAATGCATCTGATAAAAGCAACAACGTACGTTGAGGAATTCAACTAAAAACTCACAATATAATTCTACATACATAACTTTACTAATGAATCTCATTGCAAAACCACGTAGCATTCCGTATCACGTACTGCCGGACTGTATTTAAATTTTGCATCGTCCTTGAGTTTTCTAGCTTCTGCGTAATGAAACAGCAAGCAAGATTGAAACAGGTTGAACAGTCGCTTTAATAATGAATGTTATTCTCTTTACTCTGCTCTTTACTCGTAGCCATGGAAGGCTGCGTAGTGATCGAATACAGATACTAGATTATCACAGCTTGATGTCGTTGGAGAGCGGCGTTTATAGCTCTCTCTCTATCATAGAACAAAAAACACACATGATGGAACAACATGATTAAGACATGAAGGAGTAATAGGAATGCAAAAGGGCCATCCATGACTGACAGGGAGAAAACACACTATCAAAGAGACAAAATCCTAGAACAAGCAAGTTAACCATAAAGATTAAAATCCTGCAAATCCAGTGGCTCCATTCAGTCCCCGATTGGATTACTTTATCGTTAATACACTCGTTCTAAGAATATCAACACTATCTAACTCTGTTAATGCTTCATTAAGAGTCTTCATTTTTAATCAACGATCAAGCTGCCGCAAAATTAATCTTGCAACTTAAGATCGCACTTAAAGATGTTACAATTCTTTCACATAAATATATAATTTTTCATCAAAATTTCACTAACCTCTAGTCTTTATAAGTAACTAACAATGTAGATAATTTAAATGTTTGGGGTATATATATAACAGTTAAGAAATTGTGTTCTCATTTGAATTGATGTTCTAGAATGTAAGGCTCCCGTTCGCAACTTCCAACAAGTCCCTTGGGCGTCATTTGGTCTCACCCTGTCTCTCTTTTAAACTAATTTAATATAGACAGATTGATTTAGATGTCCATTTGCTAGTACATCTCGTAACTGAACTTGTCGGAACTGAGCCATAGAAATCTAATAAGACAAACTCGAGTAATGAAATCTTGACGACAAGTTTAATGAAAGGACGTGGGAATGAATTTGACTTAAAATTTATCGTTGTGTTGAGTCTTGGACGAAAAAAAAATCGAAACTGGTAAGAGTAAGCTGCATTTTTTTGTTTACTAACGTAGTTAAAATAATATAAAAAGGATGTTTTTAGCGCGAGCAGATTTGGTTTTAGTTCTGGAAATGAACCTTCATTTTTCAGACCGAATTCGCAAAAATAGGAAGAATTATGATCTAGATATACTAACTTGTAAAGCTTCCGATATCTAAGTGATATCTTATGAAAATCTGAGTGTTTAATATATACACCACAATAATGTAGCGGCGTTTTTAGTTTTTAAAACATTGGCGGTAAAATGAATGTACTTCGGGAATTCTAAGCAATATTTTCGGGGCTGAGAGAGTTTCTTTTGTAAAAGCGGGTGTGCGAGAGAGGTCAAGATCGTATTTAAGTGATATCTCCAAAGTACCTTTGAATTAGAGAATGAGATAAAAGCTTGATTYCGTGAAGTTCATTATAAAATAGTATCGAAATACTTGGACTCTCTTGAAATTCCATTAAAATGGACAAATTTCATATTAAACTCGGAAAACGGAAGTGGTATAGTAATGCAAGTAATGCTCGACTGTGGAAAGTGTTTTGTTGTTATGAGTTTATTCTAGTGAAACCTGCCGAAGATTTTTTTTTTTTTCCTTCTGAAGTTGGCCGTAAAGAAGCTGATTTTTTTCTCTAAATTTTACGGAGAAAATAGCCAATCGTAGGCCGGTATATCCCGCAGCAGTTGTGAGCTAATTTTCGGTTTTTCTAAAGGCCCTTTGCAAGGCGAGGCCTTTTATGAATCTTTTGAAAGGATTATTACATTTATAACGATTCATATATAGTCTTCTTATATTTTCCAGACGGCGCTTGAAAAAAAAAAAGGTAGCTAGCAAGACGTATATCAAATATACCGCAGAGCGGGGCCATTTATCTTAAGGTAAGGTCAATCTACATTGTTTTTTTTTTTTACATTGGAGCTCTTTATTCTTCCGGCTGAAGTGAGATGTAAAGATTACATGGATTGATATCCGCGGTGTCGGGACATCGTTTGTAGATAAACTCATATTGGATATAACTGGTCTGGGTTGCCGGCAAACTAGTGACATTTCAAGTGTAAACTATTTTTAACAAAACTAAATACTAACTTTCGTTTTTCCATCTTGAATTCATTCCAAATTGAACTCAACGTCATATTGGTTAAAAGAGTATAAACTTTAAGAAATCAACTCACTGTTCAATTATTGAGTCTTACTTTTAAAAATATCCTTAGTTTCAAGTTTCCCTCTCGTTCTTGTTTTTCCTCGTATTTATTCATTGCCTGTTTTTCACTTTTTAAATTATATTTACAGAAGTAAGTTATGTGTAAGTGTTATGAGTTCAATGACTATAGAAGATATGTGGCATTAACGTTAATGGATCCGACCCGAAAGACGTTTCACTTAAGCTAGCTCTTTGAAGAGAGCAAAACGCGGGCACTTAAATCTAACATTATAACAAACTGTACTAAGGTTGTTGACTTGAGTTGCTTGAAAACAAGACACCCAGGACCGAGGAGGCTGCTGGGAAACTAATAAGTCTGATCTTCCTCATACGGTGAATGTTTCAAGTTAGCTTAAGGGATTTTTTTGTTCTTTTTGGAAAAAAATTGTTGCTCAAAATATCTAGAAGACTGTCTTTTTTAATCCTAGTAAAAAAACAACCAATCAAACAAACAAACAAACAAATAAGCATATTACAAATAAGCCAAATATCCCAGATATCTTTTCGTTCGTAGGTTCTATATGACGTCATATTTACATCAGGACAGGAGAGGACTGGGTGCTAATTACTTTCAGCATAATTCAATTCATATTTTATAAGAAAACTAGTTGTAAAAGACARCGTTTCGCTGTCATCTCGACAACAACATCAGGTCTAATGAAAACTGTAAACTGTACTAAATATAGCTAAAGTAAGTGTGAAAGTTCAATGAATAACAATGAAGTAGATTAAATCAAGTGAGAAAACGACAAAAGAAGCGCAAAACAAAAAAAAAAATGAAATGAAAACTTTCGCTCTAATAGAGTCTGATTGTTTGTTAAGTTCAGGTTTAAGGTCTTTGATGTATAACATTTCGTAGATCAAGCAATCAAGTTTTCCTCTGCATTTCTTCAGAACCATCATTAGGCCTGATGATGTTGTCGAGATGACAGCGAAACGTTGTCTTTTACAACTAGTTTTCTTATTAAATCGTATACCTAACAGTACCTTTATCAAATAATTCATATTGTATACGATTTAAAAGATATGTATCGCGTGTCCCCATCACGTGACTAAGAGAGCGTAGTATTTAGCATTGAAATGGCGTTTGCGTTTTTCATGATTCGATTTTCTTTTACTGGTTGCCTTGATAACGGTAGACCTCCTTTGGAGACGCAATACAGATATGTATGTATGATACAAGTGATCAGCGCTAGGGCGGAAGGTTGAAACCTCGGGTGAAATATCGCAAAGAAATCTTTAAAACTGGGGAAAATTCTTTTTTGTGGGCGTTGATTGGATTCAAGGGGGTATCGCAATAATATACAATTAATGCCTTTAAAATGAAGCCACCTGTATGGGATATAAATCATTTTACGAAATTGATGACACCATCTTGAACAGTGTGCATGGTTTCATGGTGAGTGTAACCGTTGTTTATTTGTTTCTTTTTCGCGAGAAAGTCGACGTGGCAGATTGAATGAAACAAAATATAAATAGCGATTAGCACCTTTGAATATAGTCGATGTTAACAACTGTAGGAATTACCTTATCCGTGACTGTATTATCATGCATTATGATCGCCTGCCTGCCCGCATGTGTACTGTCCATTTACACACGGATAATGTGTTAACAAGAGTCTTATCAATTGCTAATGGAAAACGAATCATTGGAAATCCGGGCTTTATCGTGTTCTAATTCACACATGTTTATATTGAAAGAGGGTAAAGAAAGCAATTCTCAAGTTGTGTGGGTAAGCAATAGAAATGATCGTAGAGAATATAACTCAAGGCTTTAATTCTAAGCGGTCTATCTAGCAATATGGCTCAATATTCCTCAATGGGAAAATGATAGCAATTCTATTTTATCTCGTTTTTAAGTTCACTGAAATTTTTTTAAGAGATTGAAAAACAGACAGTTTAAAGAAATTAGAAGTGAGAAAGGTGAGAGAATTTGAAGCAAAAGTCATCTCTTTATCATCCTTTCATCTATCCGTCAAAATACATCGCAACCAATAAGCTAATAATTCTATGCAAAAATGTTAGAATAGACACGACAATAGCTTTAACTAGAATAGAATATGAATGAAGCCAACGAAAAGCAATCAAAGTCTAGTCGTTGAATTATCAACTCTGAATAATGCAACGGCGTTTTTTGGGGAGAAATACGAAGAGTAAATGATAACAATTACAACCACACCCCCGATATAAACCATCTCATTTGGCTTTTACAGCTCGACAAACGGATTATGCAGTTCATCATTAAGATYTTTTGTTCGCTATAACTGATAGGGGGATTTAAGTGGATCTTTTAGTAATTAGTCCAAAGATCTATAAAGCTTTATTCATAATTTCTTTCACTGTTCACAATGCTGGGTTAGTTGTAAGGCTAATCGCAAACATTTTGGTCGCGTTGTGAAGATTTTCTTAAAATGTTGTGTCAACACCATGGTCGCTAGTTTTATAAGTTCGTGACTTCACTCTAACGAACTCATTTCAGAAACCAGGCTTTGCAAGGGCGATAAGTGGAATCTTCCATGTAAAGTAAGTGGAGATTACTTTGCGTTAATGTTTCCTTTAAAAGGGATTACGTTTCTGTCGAAACGTTTAGAGCAGGGATAAATGTGACCACAACATTTGCTCACCAATAAATTCATTTCTACGAATTCAACTTCTCAAAAATCTAAGACACGTTTATAACAACCAAGCTCCGTAAACTAGTTTCTAAAAAACAAGATTTGCAATCTCGTAACCAAAACTAGGAATTCACAAGCCAAGTTTTCCGGGTGGCTATCATTGCTGGTAAGTTCGAAAATAACTGAATGATTTAAAATAATTAAAACCGTTCTAAATCATTAGTATTCTTATTCAAAGTACTACTCATATATATTGAATAAAGTTGATTCTAATCATACGAAATTCGAGCTAAAAAAAAGGAAAAATAGTGCATTTTTTCGACTTATTTTAAGGCGAAGTCTCCTTCTGTCACGAAAGTTCTTAGGTGACCAATTTTACTCATTTTAAAGTGTAGTGCAGAGTCGCATTTGAACTAGTAGGATTTATGTGTAGGCCTAGAACGTTCTTGCGCGTGCTGAGAGAGTCTTGAGTCATTCTATATATCTAGGTATTTTGTTTTTGCTCCTCTGTGTTGATAGCAGCTAGGTATGAGAGAAAACAAGAAGAAGATCTTTTATATCTAAAAATATTACATATGAATGACGCCTTAATAAAAAAATTCTAAAAATGAAAAAAAAAAAAAAAAATTTTTTTTAACTGAAAAAGGCAATCGAACAAAACTGAAACAAAAGTAAAAGACGAAAGCCTACCCTAACATCTGTGCATAAGCAAGCTATGATGAACGAAAGCCTTGAATGAAAGATAAACTATCGATCCTTGAGCCAAGCCTGACCAAAATAACTCAAGTTCTGCCAAAGTGATTCATTACCGAATGTGCCAACTAGCGGTAAACTCAAACTTCAAAAACGTCAAGGCGATTTCCTTGAAAATTGATAAAATGGTTAACTTTTAGGATTAATTAACTTGTAGTGTTGAAATGACGTTTGCTCATGTCAATCAATTAGGATCAGAAACACGTAGAAGAACTTCGAGTTATTTTAGAGAGGAATTCTCCGGTTGAAAGTTAGCGAGCATTCTCGAAGATGAGGTATTTTTTTGGTGTTGTTAAGTGTTTGTTTTAGCTCATGTATGGTAGTTATTTGTTTATGATTATGATTGTAGAGTGTTGTTGATGTAGTGGAGTGGTCTTATTCACTGGAGAACTCACATGTTAGGGGAACGAGTGAAGGATGCGTGGATGGATGAATAACATTGGATGAAATTTAAAATGAATACATGACAATGTGTGGATGAATGGATGAATGAAATAATGAAGGAATGAATGAATGAATAAATGGACGAGTGAAAGAGTGCTCCGAATGAGTGCATTCGTTTTTTCCTTCGTTTACTGAGTCATAAGTGTTTATTTAATAAATGACTGACTGAGTGAATAAATTGGATGAAAAAATTAATGAATAAAGAAATCAAATGAATAATTGATCAAATAAAATAATAAAAGTAAGAATAAAGTAAGAAATATATAAATAATGGCATTCACAAATGAACAGATACAACAGACGACCGTGAATAGAAAACGAGAATTTAAGAGAAATTATTCAAAAATTAAAATGCTTTCTTAATGTGCTCTAACCATCTTGATCTAACCTTCGAGCCTTTATTTCACCTAACCTCGAAATTCACCATTGATCGTACTACAGCGCACTCATTAAGATAAATACCATATTTATTCACTCTACATCGATTCATCGACAGTGTCGTGTATTTCTTCATATGACAATTAAGGGATCGAATTAAACTTTGTGGTTTAAAATTTCCGAACCTTTTTAGTCATTTTCTTCCATTGTTGTATAGATTATTAGATTTTAAGGTAGCTGTCAATCATAGCTAAACCAAGATGGTTTTATTGGGTAGTGCTGATTATAAAACCCAACTGACTGCTATCTTCAACTCAATTTATTTGATCCTGGTCTTGCGATTAAGTATTTCAAGATTTTATTCGAAAAAAATAATTCCATTAAATAATAAATTCTTCCGAGCATATTGGTTTACAGCGGATACTAGCACGGTTTGTGTCTGTGGATGAGTGAGAGAGAAGAGAGAGAAAGGAAGGAAGGAAGGAAGGAAGAAACAAACAGAGATAAAAGATAGAGATGAAAGATTACAGACCAATAGAGAGAGAGAGAGAGAGAGAGGAAGAGAAAGAGAGCTAGAGAAAGAGATCGAGAGGACGGACAAACGAAAGAAATGACAATATCAACAACAATATCAACAACAAAGCAAAACAAAACGAAAGAAAGGAAGAAAGGAAGAAAGAAAGAAAGAAAGAAAGAAAGCAAGAAAGAAAGAAAGGACTAACGAAAGAGAGAAAATAGATGGTGTAAGAGGATGAAGAAAAGAGATCAAGACAAAGAGTTTGGTAAATATAGCTTCAAGTTCAAGCTCATTACCAGTAAACACTCGAAGCCAACATTACTCATAAGAGTGAGTGTTTGTTATCTCTCTGCCGGTAGAACAGTAGACGGTGGGCGATCCAATGTGGGGTGCCTTGCTACCTGGGGGGCCAATATGCTGCATAAGCACCAGCCACACTTGAAACACATTATTGCCTAAATCGTTAATTTATCACGAAATAAGGTATAGTTGTAATAATTTTGACATAAAGTTGAACGATGAAGACTGATTGAATTAAGACTGTCAAGGGTAGAAAGAAAGAAAATCATCTCTATATTACCATAGATTATTTATGATTTATAACTAATTATTGGTGAATTAGGAATTATTTGGTGTTGCTGTAAAGCACTCAGGCTTGACAAAGAAAAAAAATGAATGGCATATTGCCATTTTCTTTTTTTTTTTCCACTTAAATCTTAGGACTGAAAATGTAGGCAAAGTTTAATGGACATAGGGAAGAAAAATTAATTTTATATAGTTCATTTCCATCATAGCGTTAGCTGGATAATATCTATCAAGTTCGATCTTGAAAAATATCCCACTTCCATCAGTTTGCCTCTCTTTCCTTCCTTCCCTCTTTTTTCTTTTTTTCTTTTTTTCTTTCTTTCTTTCTTTCTCTCCGATAAAAGCAAGGCATCATACTAAAGAAGACGTTAACGTGGTATGCACTCGAAATTTTTACCAAAAAAAAAAAAAAAAAAAAANAAAAAAGAAAAAGAAAAAAAGGGAAAAATCCAAGCTGTATCTAGGTTTATTTGTTCATTTAAGAAAAACCAGTTCCGTGTCATATGTCATATGTTTTGAAGTATTTATGGAAGGAAGTTATGCTTGTTATCTTATATTACCGCTCCCTGTAAAGATATCCCGCCGCAAACACCGATTAACAGATTGCACCCCTGTTTCTCTTTTAAGCAACCAATGACACTTAACTTTACTTAATACATCATTTGTGAGTATAATATATACCTATGAACAACACATGAACCGTTAGTTAAAGATCTAGGGTTGAACGAATACCATCAGCAAGTAAACACAGTTTGTAAGATCGGCCCGAAAAAATGACGTGTTCACTAGTTTTAGCAGTGGTCGAAAAAACGGATGGATGGATAAGAGACTGATTCTTTATGGTGAGTAAATGTTTTACGAGTTTCGATAGAATATGACTATCAAAACCATAGTTATTGAATTTGCAACAAGAGTGTCTACACGATGCAACGGCGACTTAATCGTTGCCAAAAGTAGAAACGAATTCTATACTTTTTGCAACGATTGCTGCAACTTGTCTTGCAACAACATTTTCCAAATTGCGCTGTAGGTTACACGCTGCAAGGTTGGGTTGCGACACAAGTTGCAGAGAAAATTGCTCCGTGTTAAATCGCGCCATTAAACAAGG